AAACGAATAAAAAAAAAGCACAACCCCTCCCTCCCCCCACATAACACACACATATTGTTGTGCACACCATGCACATGCGCTGCAGTGCGTTGTTAGAACGCATCGCAGTGCATGATCTTTTTTCTTTTCTTTTTTTCTTTAAAAAAAAACATTAAATTAACTGTAGCAGCGCATGGCAAAGCTTTGTGACTCGTTGTGATACCTTGTGTTGCAATTGTGTTGCATGAAAATATATGGTTTGGAGGGTCTTTTACAAACGCTAGCAACCCAGCAGTTGAAAATCAAATCAATAGGAAAAAAATGCAAAAATGTCTTGGCCAGTTGATTTGAAAAATGTTCCGGAGGGCTTGTCAGCGAAAGGGTTAAAGCAAACGCCCTGGCTTTATCAGGATGGCCACCTCTATACAGAGACACAGTTCGAAACAAGGCATTAATGAGGGGAAAAAAATAACCTGCAGATAGACCACAGACATTGCTGGTGACTAGTATTTTGTCCTCCTTTTTTTAGGCATAGGTTCCAGGGTTCAGTACCTCTTTAAGATGACATCCCTGCTACCCAAAGCTTTAATATGTCAGCAGTGCTGGCTACCTTATCTCCAGACTTATTAACCTTTTGCTAGCTTACCAGTGTAGTGTGTATACCAATATTTTCTGTACATCTACATTTGAATAAGAACCCATTTCTGGCATCTGTCCAGTCTTGGGCAACAGATAACAAAGATCATCAATTACCAAAAGCACAAAGTCTGAGATTAGTCTGCAGTGATCAAGTCCACATTTCTATTACAATTTATTTTTTCATTTCATAATCTGTCCCTGTATTGTTGTCTTTGACCTTGTGTGTAAGCCTGCAGCAGAGATCAATTTATTTCTGGTTTGTGTTAATGGAGTCATCTATAATTGCATACATATATTTATAGAGGCATACTCTGTGCATATAAATATATATGTATGCTTGTGTTTTCCTTGTTCTAGAAGACTACACAGAACTGTAGAATTCTGAGTTTTACCCTCCTTTTTTTTTTCTCTTTTTCTAAGTTTGTAATTTTGTTTTATCTAATGTATTGTGGACTAACAAAATGAAATCACTGTAACAAGATTGCAATAAGGATTCCCTATAATGCTGTTTTTCCTGCCATACATGACAGCACATGTACATGTAGGTTGTCTAATTTAGAACTCTGCTGCAGGTGTATGTTGTTTTTGTGGATGTTCTTGGATCGAATGCTTACTATTCTATTTTCCCAGCCTCATGGATCCGCTTGATACCAGCAGCAGAGTCCTATAAAGCCACACATCAGAAAACAGAGAACATATAAAAACAGCAGAATTCTTGATAGTCTTAATGTAAAAGTGCTTAAAGTTAATATGCCATTGGGGCCATATAACAGACACCTACAAGTACCTGAAATGTTTTTTTGAGGTATTTTCTGAGCCACAGAAGCCCCAAAACCTATAGTCCTATAGTGTAAATGCAAATCTTAGTTGAGCTGGGGCCCACCCTCTTCTGCTTCTATGGCTCATTGCTGGTCCATAACTATGATAGGCAGCATCGGTGACGAATAGTAAGGAGTGGAATGCAAACAGGTGAGCGCCTTGAGCTTTTTTGCTCTGAAAGCCTAATAAGCATTACAGGCCTGCTGACAACTTAGTAACATTTATGTAGGCTGAGAAATTGACTATTTTATAGGAAAGAACCATATGGTTCTTTTTGCAAATAACTATATACAACTTTCATTTCAAATCTTCTCTAGAGTGCTTAAATGATTATGTTTAATTAAGAATTTTTGAGTGGCAAAATGTTCTGCTCGCTTGATATTGGTAATCTGCGTTTTCCGCTTTTGATTGTCCTCATCCGAAACTTGACCATAAGAATTCGATTTCCAAACTTATTGATATCACTGGTGTTTACTGTTGTGCCACTGAGACTGCAATTATTTATCAGTGTTAGTTGCATGGCCAGAGAAATAAGCAGCTGTTCTCTGTCTATAGGTTAGATTGTTGTCCCTTTTGCTAAAGTGTATTGCACCTTTTAGGCTAGATTCACCACAGATTGCCTTGTCTTCCTTTGGGGCTGAGCAGGAAAAAACAAAAAGGCCAGTGCAGCCCCAATGCAAAACGAGGCAGTTAGCCTTGTCACAGAAGTGCTGCGATATGATATAGCTGCATCGCACGGCACTGTACCCATAGAAGTTATTATGTTTCAATACAGTTCTAACAAAAAAAACAAAGGTGACCGCTAACGCACACCAGTAGCTGTACATTGTAGCTCAGCTGCTGGTGTGATTGCAGCCTAAGGCCTCATTCACATTGCCACGCATATACAAGCGTATTGTACCATATGCAGCATATGCAAATAAAAGGCTCCATACACATAGCTGCGTATGGAGCCGTATATTTGCCTAGCGTAAAAATGCGCTAAAACAGAATGGAACCGAGATGCGTACGGGCAGCGTATTTCTGCGTATTTTTCTACGCGCGTACAGTTCATTACAATTTCTATTGCAAATGATGCATTCTGGGATTGCATATAGTGCACGCATATACACAACATACAATTTAGCTCTTGCGTCGTGTGTGAATGAGGCCTAACTCTCACTCTGTTCCTCAGTATTTTTTTTTTCTGACTTTCACACAGCGATTTAGCTTAACATTTGTAATCAGATTGCGGCTCATCCATGGTGTACTGCAATTCTGTTTTTTTCCAGTTGGGTTTTTAAAAGCCTATGCCTTGTGTAATGTGCCAATAATTTATTTATTTTTTTAGTAGGGATGTGATTGCTTATGTGCATTTAATAAAGATAACAATGGATGTTAACGCTGCAGACAAGAGAGACTAGCAAGCAAAACTATCACTCCACACATAGAACTTAATTGTGAATAGGGTTAAAACACTGCTGCTGTTGCCTGTAGCTACTATTTGGATGCTTTTTGTTTTCTAAATTGTGGCACATTAAAATTTACTGTTTTATAACAGTTTGCTATGAGCAGCAGTAACACTTGTTTTGAACCTTTTATTATACGAGGCTGAAAGCAAAGTGTTCCACATACCATTTATTATGGTAATGTTAACGTATATATCCTGGTAATAAATACACTGTTTCACTCACCTCCTAATCTACGTTTCAGGGAAGCTGTACACCACTAATGGTAACAACTCTTCATCCACACGTAGCCACCATCACACCACAGTATGCGGTACCATTTACCTTGAACTGCGCAGCCGGGCGGCCGGCCTTAGTTGAACAGACTGCTGCTGTACTGGTAATTTTGTTTCACTTGATTGTGTACACACACAGTCATTTTTTTTTTTTTTTTTAAATATATATCTGTGTATATATGTTTTCCTTTCCTCTTTATCATAGAACGTTTCTGAAGAGCATGGAAGCATGAGCTCCATCTTGTGGCTGTGTTCTTGCAACATTCTAAGCGGCTCCTTCTTAATGTTTTCATTTTTTATTTTTATTTTTCTTTCCCCTGCAAATGATTGCTGCAGTGCTGTCTGCCTCCTATGTTTCAGCCTGGCTTTCTTTAAGGCAGCATTTCCAATGAGGGGGCTAAATTGGATTCTTGCTTCCTATTATACAGCTTTTTCCGTTTATTCTTTCCAGCTTGGCTTCAAAAGGTTTCCCTGATGAAACAGCCCTTATTGACAGTACTGTATTTTCAGTTATGACGTTACTCAGTGCCTAAATTGGAAACTATGGAAATAATTAAACCTTAGATGGGTTCAAAGATTTTATACTTTCAAGTTTTAAAACATAAACTTGAAAATACAATAACTTTAATGTAGAAAACTAGACTGACACAAAACCGCTGTAAAATTCTACTACATACAAACACCCGCAATGCTCAAAATGTGCCTTTCAATAATCTGGATTCCCTTGATTGGACAGGTGGTAGGAAAGAGAGTTTTGGGGTTTTTGGCTGGTTTTAAGTTTTGTTGTTTTTTGTTTTTAATTTTCGGCTTGATCACAACTACTAAAACTTATTAAACAAGGCTTTTATCCTATTTCAAATTCTGAGCACAATTCATTTGAGGAGAGTATTAGAGTATTCTCATTCGTAACCGTGTTTTTTTTTTAATCAAGTGGTGTCTTCACAAGTTTCCGATTTGTTATAACTCTTATATAAGATAAACTGTAGTGTAGCCCATGTTCCACTTTGTCTTTTAACTTATTACTAAGTATGGCAAATGTCTAAGTGGCTTCATTCTTGGTGACTTGGGAGATCATTTCTTTGCATGCAGAAGTGAAATCTTTGTAGCTTTTGTATATGATTGGTTTGAGATTAACCCAGTGGCTTAAGAGCAGTCTCCTGCTGAGATGTACTGTACTCAAGGCCTCTCATCTATATAGATTTCTAATTAATGACTTCAGAAGCCCTTTAACCAACAAACCCCAAACACTGTGCAGCCATTACCCTAATCGACGAAATAGCTTGTTCTGTACCCTCAATGATATTGCTTTTCTACAGATGCTGAAAATTCTTGTTTGAACCTAAAGGTGAGCTCAACTTAATTTCTTGGAGAGTAAAATTTTTGGATTGATCTTGTACTCTAGTTAAAACAGCACCAATAAACCTGTGAAAGAACTCCTGATTATACTTAGAGTTTTTCTGTAAAAGTGGTTGTGGAGGTCTGTCAACAAGTTTTACTTCACCTGTCTTCAACACACTTTTCTTGCTAGTGAAATTTGATTAATCAAAGGGCTTTTCCTGGGGATGACTCCATGTATCGCTGCCGTGAGCATATTTAAGTATTTGTCTTGTGAGGCAACTGCTTAAATGTTTTCATGTGTTTCTTTAGTTAATGTAATCACATTACATAGTTACATAGTATTTGAGGTTGAATAAAGACATAAGTCCATCAAGTCCAACCTATACACACAATAGGTTGGACTTGATGGACTTATGTCTTTATTCAACCTCAAATACTATGTAATGTGATTTTGAAATACAGTGGTTGTGGTAGATTTTGGAGGTAAGCAGGATCTCATTTATGCACTTATGTACGGCATGTTTACTGGCATGCTTGTAGTGCACATAGACCTGGTTATTTGCCTACTTTCTATACATCTAGGCAATATAATTTTCTTCTTTAAATATAGTGTTAACTAAAAAACAGCACACAGGACTTTTACACAATCTATAAACGTCTGTTTTGAACCTCCCCACCCATTTCTTTTCCTTAAAATCTATTGTTTTGGGAGTAGTCGCTAATGGTGACTCTGTACCATTGGCTGATAAGACAATCAGTCCTAATTGTTTTAATTGATTTAATCCCTTACATGCATTCCAAACATTTTCTTTCTAAATGGCAATCTAACTTTAGCTCACCTTTTAGTTCATCTGCCAGCTTGCCAATGGATTTGACTGCCTTTTACTGCTTTGCCTAAGTTTGCATTACTCCATTGCAAAGCTTTGCATTTTTTGTCCTTCCTTTGTCAAAACAGTTCATCGCTAGGAGCGCCAGATCTCTGCATCACGTTCTGGGATATTCTTGCTTTATATTAAACTATATGCTTTGTCTTGGGCAGGTGTTGGCTTTTTGGAAAGACGCATGGTGTGATTTAACATTTATAAAACTTTATTTTTTGTTTCCACTGTTTTTTGTTTTTTTTTATAACTGATGTCTCGGGAGCATTGCTTATAAGACAAAGGTCTGTCACTTGCAGAAATACTGTTGATATCAAAACACTATTTGAACATATAACATGTATGTGATGCTGCAGAACTTCTGGTAGGCTGCTTGAGTTTCATCTGCTTTGTAACAGTTATTTTACAGTTTTGAACTTTTTAGAGTTATTTGCACTTCTAAACAAATGGCTTCTAAAGTATGGTCTGATCGTCATATAAAGAGTCAGTTTTGTCTAGAGAGATGGTATCCTGATTAGCTAAAGGCGTAGAGCTTTGCAGAGTGAACTTTCACTTATTTTAGTGAAATAGGTAAAGTTTTGAATACTTCAATCATCCAATAGTGTAAACAAGAATGCATAAAAGAAAAAATCCTGATCTGGCACAAGATTGATTTGCAGAATTAATTTTCACTTTGCTTCACCTCATTAAGGTAAGTGAAAATTCATGTCTAGGAGTGGGTCTCCTACAAACATCACAGTGCTTCAGAAATCATTCATCTGGGTTGTCGAATTCTCTGTTCATGTATTCACTATAAGAAAAACACTGAGAAAAAATGGTGCTCATAGAGAGGACACTATTTATAAAAAAAACATTGCTGTATGTCTTAAATTATCACCTGAATGTACCATAGCACTTTTGAGACAAATGTTAAACTGTTTGGCGGAAATGCTCATTAGGTTTTGAAGGGAACAATCCCCATCACAAACAAATAGATTTTCTGGCTCTGTTGCCTTAGTCTTGGAGAGCTTGCCTAGATGGAACAATACATTCAGAATTGTATCAAGATATTTTAAAGAATGATGCCAGGGTACCTTCTTAATGTTTTGGGAGATGCAGTAAGACAATAACCTTTAATTTAGTAGTAAATCAACAGGATGGTTAAATCAAAAGAAGAAATACTTAAGGTGTCCATACACGCGTAGAAATTTGGCAGAGACCTGCTGTTTTGGCCAAAATTTTACCAGTGTGAGGCCAAGACTGCTCCCCTCCATTTAAAAAAAGTTGAATTTGTTTTGATCAACTTTTTTCAAAGAAGCCGGTCTAGATTTTTGTGTGAATAGTGCCTGCATCCAGTCAAATGCGGGCACTGTTCAGGTATTCTGACAGCAGCATTCTCGCGGTTGTAAAAATACAATAGCCCAACAGGGGAGGTGTTAGCCATTTTTTTTCGTTCAGCCCTGTGGTTGGCCGCAGTGTATGGCCAGCTTTAGTGTAGACGGGCAAAGTCCAGACATGGTGACCTTTACCTGAAGGATATTCACACAAGGAATCCCATTAAAACAGGTTTGTAAGGAAGATTGAAAATTTGATCAGTTCTACAGAAAATAGCTGGAGTTTATCATTGGGTAACAACATTCCTCACAATACTAACGTAAAGGTTCATTTGTTTTCCAACACTGACTGTGAATGCTTAAATGTATGTGTTTAATAGAGGCATGGGAAAATGCAGTAGGTGTGTTTTAGGTTTAAGCAAATTGTTTATCTATTATTTTTATTTAATGAAGATCAGACCAAATTTTAGTAGCTTTTTATGCAAAGTCAAGAAATCAAGTCAAGGCACCAGAATAAAGATGTAGTTCAGGAGAGAAGCCCCTAATCTCCCTGGACTTGGAAGAAATAACAATTGATCAAAGATTGCCACAAAGGGTTGTTTGAATGGTGGATAAAGACCCTAGATCAACTTCCAGACAAATTCAAGCTGACCTTCAGGCACAGGGTACAACTGTGTCAGCTTGCACTATATGTCGCTGTCTAAATAAAAAGGGACGCTAAAGTAGGAGAACCAGGAGGACTCCACTGCTGACACAGAAACATTAAAAAGCCAGATTGACGTTTGCCAAAACTTACCTGAGGAAGCCTAAATCCTTTTGGGAGAATGTGCTGTGGACAGACTAAATACAATTACAGCTTTTTTGGTAAAGCCCATCATTCTACTGTTTTCAGAAAAAGAAACAAGGCCTTTTAAAGAAAAAAATACAGTCCCTACAGTCAAACATGGTGGAGATTCACTGATGTTTTGGGGTTGCTTTACTGCTTCAGGCACTGGATGTCTTCACTGTATGCATGGCATTATGAAATCTGAAGACTACCAAAGAATTCTGGGGTGCAATGTAGGGCCCAGTGTCAGAAAGTTGGGTCTCTGTTAGAGGCCATAGGTCTTACAGCAGGACAATGACCCAATGTCAAAAAGCACCTAGAAATTGTTTTAAACAAAGTGCTGGAGAATACTGGACTGGCCAGCAATGAGTCCACATCTAAATCCCATAGAGCACCTGTGGAGAGATCTCAAAACAGCAGAAAAGGAACCCTTCCGATCTGAGGGACCTGGAGCAGTTGGTGAAAGAAGAGTGGTCCAAAATTCTTGTAGAGAGGTGTAAGAAACTCATTGGTTACAGGAAGCGATTGATTTCAGTTATTTTTTCCAAGGGCTGTGCTACCAAATATTAATTGAGAGTGCCATTAATTTTGTCCAGTCCATTTTTGGAGTTTTGCGTGGAATGTGTCTGGTTTGGCTTTTTTTTTCCTCCCAATTTTTTTTCATACCAATACAAACAAAAGAATGAGATTGCTTAAACATTTGTAATTGCAACAATTTTCTGTGTGAAGTGGTGAAATAGCTGACAAATGCAGGGTTGCCAGTATTTTTGGCCATGACTGTTTTTAAAGTACAAAACATTGTCGTGTAAAATTGGCTTACGTGAGTGTGCTGGTCTGTTTTTCATTCTAAGTACTGTTGATTAGGAAAATAGATTGCTACAGAGGCTTTGCGATGTGTTGGAGTCACATGACGCTGGGAGGATATAGTCTCTGCGAGATGATGGGCATGACTGTTGTCAGCCAGCCTCTGTGGTTGGAAAGCGAGGAGCAAAAAATTGCAGCCATTTTATTGTGGTGCCACCACTGCAGTATGTAAGAACCCAGAATTTGTGACTGAAATGGCAGCACCGGTTGCAGAGCAGTAATGTAACATTTAAGGCATGTTCACTAGGGGGGCAAGGATTGTTAAAGATGAAGAAAAAAAATATTCCTGACTTCCACTTGAAAGATTTGAAACACTCACATGAAACTGTTTTTCTAATGGAATAATCGCTCATGTTTTTAGGCAGTGTTCAGCTGAAAATTCTATTGCATTTAATTCTTCTATCAATGCATTGTTATAGTATGTTGTACATACCGCGTAGATTGGTCACTTGCAGCTTGCAGCTTATTCAAAACCTTTTTAGGACAGTAAATACACATTAATAAATATAAAAAAGATGTTTAGTAAAAGTTGACATACCTACTTTTTTTGTATGTGTTGTATTTTTTTTTAACAACATTTACAAATATTTTTTATTAGTAGTAAATATGTTTGGTTGAATAGTGTAGTTGTGCAGCTTTTGCAATGCAGCACCACAAATGAAATGATTATCACAGGCCTTAATTCGGTTACACTTTATTTCTGCAAGGTGAAGATCCACTGTCTTCAACAGGTTAAAGTGGCATGTTTTATATTGGTGTGTGACTAAGAAACTGTCTTTCTTTCCATTCTTTGTGTTTTCCAGCAGGCTTGGCCTGGTGGAACACAGCAGATCTTACTGCCCTCTACATGGCAGCAACTTCCTGGTGTTGCCCTTCATAACTCTGTTCAGCCGACAGCCGTGATTCCTGAAACTATTGGAAGTAACCAGCAGCTTGCAGATTGGAGGTAATGTATATGATTGTACATATTTCATTATATAGTATGATTGAGCTTGGACAGTTAGGAATGAACCTTTCGTTCTGCCCAGCAGTACTATTCTTGTGTGTGGTTGGTTCTTCGATTTCTGTGTAATAACGCACCCACTTTTATGGAACAGTTCCTTAGACTGCATAGGGCACCAGCAATGTGTCAATTTCCTCCCACCTGTGCACCTTCCCCCAACTTTTCCCTTGAGATTGTTAACACAACTATCCAGCCCTCCCCCCATGCCAAGGTCCTAGGTGTCATCCTTGACTCGGACCTCACCTTTCTCCCCCACATCCAATCACTATCCAAATCATGCCGCCTCCACCTTCGTAACATCTCCAAAATACGCTCCTTCCTCACCAAAGATACCACAAAATTGCTCATCCACTCCCTTGTTATCTCTCGTCTTGACTATTGCAACTCCCTCCTCATTGGCCTACCTCTACACAGGCTATCCCCCCTTCAGTCTATCATGAATGCAGCTGCTAGGCTCATCCACCTAACCAACCGCTCAGTGTCTGCAACCCCCCTCTGTCAATCCCTACACTGGCTTCCTATAGCCCAAAGGATAAAATTCAAAATATTAACAACCGCGTACAAAGCCATCCACAACTCTGGCCCCGGCTATATCTCCAACCTGGTCTCAAAGTATTACCCTAACCGTCCCCTCCGCTCTTCACAAGACCTCCTGCTTTCCAGCTCCGTCATCAACTCCTCCCATGCTCGCCTCCAG